TGCATATTGCATCAAGCAAAAAGTAAATTATATGCAACAGGTAAACCAATTTTCTGCATATTCCAGCACATAAGATAAAATTATTTTTTGTGTTTATACTCACTCTTTCAAATAGATGCATGTTAAACAGAGAGAAAAAAATTAAATCTTAAGTCTGCCTCACCAAAGTCTTTTTTTACCGGTTTAGCAGAAGTGGGGTGGGTGGAGGTTTGCCCGGTGCCGAAGCGGTCATGTCAGTGGAGGACCCGGGGGTTTCTCTGTGAATTTCACATTCCTGTGGCAGTGTGCTAGGTACTTGCTCAGAAGTTTAGGGGGTTTTTTTAGCTGTAAGAAGATGTTTTCGTCCACGCAGAGTGTACAGTGGACACTACTGTTTTTGTCACTTTTTACGGAATCAAACTCAAAGTAAGGTCAGTACTTCCACGCTTTAAACGCTACAAGGAAGCACTCCATATTATCCATTGTTGATCTGCTGTCTGTTACTACAGTTGTGGCACCCGCTTACATCATGACCATTAGACACTCTTGTAAACAAAATCATAGTTTATTAACGCAGTAAAGCAGCGTACTTATGGGAAAGTAACACTAATCTAATTACTTTTTTGCAGTAGTAATCCCTTACTTTACTAATTACTTGAAAAAGTAATCCGATTACAAACGCATTACTGCCCATCTCTGCTGGGGACATTGAGTCAGAATGGACAATGTTTAGCACCTCTATTACTGAAGTTGCTGCACTGAGCTGCGGCCGCAAGGTGGTTGGTAACCCCTGAACCAAAAGGTGGACACCAGAGGTGAAGGGAGCCACCAGGCTGAAGGAGTCCCAAAGGCTTGGTTAGCCTATGGGACTTCGGAGGCATCTGATAGGTACCAACAGGCCAAGTGGAATGCGGCTCAGGCAGTGGCTGAATCGAAAACTCAGGTGTGGGAGGAGTTCGACTCATCCATTTCTGGGGGTGAGTTCACTGTGGCAGTTAAACAACTCCTAGGTGGCAGGGCCGCTGGGGTGGATGAGATTCGCCTTGAATTCCTGAAGGCTCTGGATGTTGTAAGGCTATCTTAGTTGACATGCCTTTACAATGTTGTGTGGTGATTAGGGGCCGTACCCCTGGATTGGCAGACCAGAGGGTGTTTCCCAACTATAGGAGAATCACACTCCTCACCCTCCCAGGGAAAGTCTATGCCAGGGTGCTAGAAAGGAGAAATTACTGCTGTTGTTAGTCCATGAGAGATCTGAGGTCATCAACCTTTGTTTTCCTCTTCTACAGCAGTTTAATAGGATGGAGTAGAGAAATGTCTTCACCTTCTCTTTCTCTTGATGCATAAAATGTTACTAATAAAGAAAGCTACTTTCCATTGCCACAGCAGATAGCACCACATGTTTGATGCTTCTTTTAAATGGTTACTAACCAAACCAAAGAGGATTTGTGTTTCTGGCTGCACTAGTATTTTTCCAAGATTAGTGTATGGATATTTTTTCCCTTTTACTCATATTTCAGTAAATATTTAAATAACATTTGAAAGGAAATTTGTCTGATAACAGCAGGTTTTTCAAGCATCTGTCTCAAGTTTAACAAGTTTTGTCTTCTAACTATAAAGATACATCAACTATAACCCTGAGCTGTTCTGCTATAAATAAATGTCAGTATTTTGCAACTGTTTAAAAAAAGAAACACACCAAGAAAAACAAGAAGATATGCATTTTTTAAATCTGTTTATTATTGTAGTTGGTTTTTTTTATGCTAAAGCAAACTCTCAGGATACACACACTGAATTAAATGTTGTTAATGATGTCTGATATTGGAATTGCTCGAAAATTATTTTTATGGTTCAAACTCATCATTTCCAAATACATTATAATTTTTCACAGTGCTCAAGGATTTCTAAATAAAATATCAAAATGGCAAACTATTGTGACTGTTTTGGGTGTTTGTGTATGTGTGTGTATGTGTCTTTAAAGTTCATGTAATCAACTTAGGAAGACTCAAGAAGAGAAAGGCAGATTAGGCTTTGCTGAAAATACCTAAAAGAGCCTGGCAAGCTCAGAAAAAAATATCAGATGTAACCAAGTTGAACTTTTACCAGAATGGCACCTCATCTGTCAAAGTGGATGCAGTGTTATTGCATGGCTATGTGAAAACGGGTCACTATGTTTACTGATGATGTGATTGTGATAGAACTAGCAGGGTGAATTCTGAGTTGATTCATTCTTCAATGGCCAAGCCAGTCAGTTGGTTTCAGTTGGTAAATATGCAGCTTAAAAAATTAAAGGAATACTTTTAAAACACATCAGATCTCAATGGGAAAAACTGTGCTGGATATGTCTGTGAATGTTCTCAGTCATCCAGGTCGTCGTAGTCAAAGGAGCTTGCAAAGAAAAGCGTCTGGACTTCTTTAAGTTACTTGAAGACGTTTCAACTCTCATCCGACGTGGCCAAACTCTGGCTGATTGGGACCCACACCCAGTTTCACACCT